TGGCTATACTACATTTTTTATTTATTGATCAGTTGATGTACATGTTTCCACTTTTTGGCTATTATGAACAATGTTGCTACAAACATTCTTGTATAAGTTTTTGTGTGGACATGTATTTTCAGTTCTCTTGGGTAAATATCTGGGTTTGAAATTGCTGGGTCATGTGGTAACTTTTTGCAGAACTGCCAAACTGTTTCACAAAGTGGCAAGCTAGAACTTGCACCTGAGCTGCCCCGCAAGAACCAAAAGTCACCACCAAAACCAAAAGTCACCACCATCGTGTACATCCTCAGCAAAAAATGCTTCCCATCTTGTAAGGTGAATCTCTTGGGTAGAACCCAGCCACACCTGAAATCTTAGCATCAAGGACGTTTGGCTCAGCAGCAGAGAAAGGCGTGCTAGAAAGGTTGGGCAAGGCGTTAAGCTGGTGCACCCCCTCAGACTCGACATCTCTCCTCTGCAGCCTGACGTGTCCAAGAGCAGCCATCTCCTGGGCACCTGCCTCTCCGTGTTTCTCTTGGGTCCTCTTTCCTATCCTTTTGGGGAATGTCTCACAGAGAATAAAAGGGACCTCAGACTTGGCTGAAAAAGCAGGGCCTTCTGTGATAAATACCAGTTTGGACCACATTAGAACCATTTCAACTTTTGGCCTTTATTAGGAAGAAAACCAGGTGGGAGGGAGTGAGCTGAGCTGAGCAGGACAGGAGCCAGAGGGGACAAAGCATAGCTAACGTTTCGGGGCCTGAGGGGCTGTGAGAAATGGGTGCTGGAAAGAGGTGGGTCCTCTCTGCTGACCCCTGTCTTCCCCACCACCATGTGCAGAAAGGGTGTCCTGCAAAGGGTGATGGTGTTCTGTATTTGGTGTCATCCCTTCAGACACAGGCCTGTTCGGACATTGAACAGTCTCATATCGGATGGCATTCTTTGAATGGAAGTCCACAGATATATTTTCTCAGGCCTGTAAATTCTCTGTAAGAATTTTGTTTTTGGTTTCCACATCTATGATAATCCAAAGAATTAATAGGAGACTAATCAAAACAATCAACTTCTTTACCTATTCTCCTCTCAGGGCACATGAGGGCTGTGTCTTACTTTCAACCATTAGAGATCACATGGCCTTTAACACCCTTGCACATGTCTCCCACACACTCATTAGAGGGTTTGTCTAGGGCATGCTCCAGGAGTGGAACTGATGGGTTATAATGTATATGAATCTTCTACCGTATAAGAGAACAGGGCTGGCATTAGCATCTGGGTGGGTGGGGCTTCCACCTTCCAGAAGGGAGAACAGCAGGTTTGGGAGACCAGCTCAAAAGTCTGATTGCGGAAATACTCCAAGAAGCCCCTGAGGCATCCATGTACAGAAATCAAGAAAGGAGTTCGGTGTGTGAATCTGGAACTCAGAGGAGATCAGATGTGGCTGGTCAATGCAGAGCAGGCCTGGAAAGGTTTGGGTGGATGGGTGCCCTGTAGAGAGGGTGCCCGGAGAAGAGCTGGAGGTGCAGGGGGCAGGCATATCAAAGGAAAAGGACACTTGCACAGTCCTGCTCCCCCTCCACTTCCTCCAGTCCCATTGTCCCCTGCCCTCCATCCCCCACCCCTCAATTTCCATCTCCTTAGATTTTACAGAGGAAGAAATTAGGGTTGTCTGAAGCTGGAGTCATTCAGCTAAAGTCACAGACCCTGAAACACTTAGGGTTGGATTCAAGCCCCAGACTCCTGCAGCCAAGCAGGGCCTTGCCCAGTGAGCAGTCCCCCAGGGGTGCTGCTTACATGTTTACCATGAGCTTGGTGTCAAACAGCTCGGCAGGCCTGTGACCAGGGCCCACCTGAACCTGCTGACAAGAGTCAGGTGGATGGGAAGTGGAAGGGAGCCTCAGAGAAGGGCCAGAAATGCAAAGCAAGACTCTGGTTCAGTCTAGAGCTAGACTTCCTGGGTTCAGATTCCAGCTCTGCCTCTTATTAGCTGTGTTGCCCCAGGTGAATTACTCAACCTCTCTGTGCCTCTCTTTCCCATCTGTAAAATGGGAATAATCATCGGAGTTAGCTCATAGGGTTGTTGTGAGGATTAAATCAGCTCGGCAAAGCAGTGGAACAGAGCTTGGCAGGTAGTAAGCATTCAGCAGGCACCAGCAATTGTCACTACCAAAGAATGAGGAAATGTCCCGTGGGGAATGGCAGGGCTGCAGATGGGGCAGCTGGAAGCCATAGGAGAGGCAACGACATGGAGCCTTCCAAGCTGTCATGGTAGGGGGTGGGGTCTGGCTGCGGCCCTTCCTGTCTCACCCCTGGTTTCCCCAGGACTGTTCCCCCTGCAACCCAGTGGCCTGTTGGGGCACTGAGGGAGGCAGGGGCATCCCAGAGCTGCTGGGAATTGACTCAGGACTCTGCCTCCAGGAGAGGACCGAGGGCCTGGCGAGTCAACCTCCTGGGCCTCTGCCCTGGCAGCAGGCCCCACTGCCTGAGGGGGGCATGGTGTGGAAGCATTTTAATGTCTTTTATAAATACATAATCTAGGATTAGATGCCCATTCACATGACCTTTGTCCGTTCTTGCCCGGAGCCACTGAAGTATGAGTTAATAAATACTGGAGGAAATGGGAAAGGCCAGGCGGGGTTTGGGTTGAGCTTTGCTGGGAAAGAGCTTTCCCCTGAAGAGGGAGCTTTGCGCGCAGGAGGCCTGAGACATTCCTGGTTTCTCTCTACTAATGGCATCACCAAAGTCCTGGTCTGGACACTAAGATAGCCGGTCACCACAGTTCCCCACAATGACAGAGATGGTCTGGCTGGCACTCCTGAGGCCCAGCACTGTTTCCTGTGACTGCTTTTCTCAGGGATTGTCCCCAAGCTTGAGACCAAGCAACCTGTCATGTTTTAAGTAAAATGCTCTACAGTGCTTCTCAGACCAGCAGCATCAGCATCACCTGGGAACTTGCTGGAAACGCATGTCTTCAGGCCTCATCTCAACCCTACTGAACTGGTTGGGGCTCTGATGTGTGTTCTGAAGACGAGCTCTGGTCACTTCAGGGAAGCTGTGCGAAGGGTGGGAGGCCTGATGAGGTTGGGAGAGAGATGCTAGGCTAAGGCAGGAGTCTGGGGTCTAGCCCCCATTCCACTATCTAGCAGCTGAGGGAAAGGAGGGTGTTCCTGTGCCTCAGTTTCCTCATCTGGAAATCGAACGTAAGAGCATTTCCCTTATCTGCATCTCAGAACTGGTGTAAAGAACTCCTCAAGTATTAACTGCCTCACAAACGATATTAACGTTGCTGGGCAACTGCCCCCCTGCCCCCATTATCAATCTAAGAACATCAACAGCAGGGGTCTTTAAGCCAAAGGTTTTCACCTGGGAACCTTGGGCCAGCTCTGGCAACCTTTGGAAACCTATGATTGCCTGCCAAACTGAGTGGAAAGGTGCATTTTTCTGGAGAGAAGACCATTCAGATCCCTCAAAGCCAAGAACTGCTGATGAAGCCAAGAACCCCCACCCATGGCCTGTGACCCTCCTAAAAATGGCAAGAACTCCTGGCAGCGTTGGATGAGGAAGGGCAATGGCAGCAGGGGGTAGAGAATCAAATCTGGAAAGCGAACCGCCTGCCTTGCCTGAACCTGGTCCGTCCCCCCAGGGGTTTTCCACATTTGCTAATGAATAACAGCCTCTGACTGTACACGCAGGTGTGTGTGTGTGGAGGGGTGGCGATGACTTCAGGCCAGTGCATTTCCAAGTCCACAGTGGGAGGCAGGGCAGGTGACTGTCTGGAGCATTTATTAGGTGCCAGCTGCTTCACATACACCATCTCCATTAACCCTCTCAATGCCTCCACCAGCTGGTTCTCAACTCAACTTATAAATGAAAAGACTGAGGAAGTAAAGCGACTTGCCCAAGGGGGAAATGGAATGGAGCTGGAATTGCAACCCAGGTATCTGTGATCTGTAGCACTCTGCAGTAACATCTCGAACAGGGAGCGAGGCAGTGGACCACAGGAGAAAGGGGCACAAGATCACAGGGACAGTGGCACTTGAAGTGTCTCATGGAACACGATGGAAAACTCAAACTGTCTTTGATAAAAAGTAATGCTTCTCAAAATCTGGCACATCCATGCAATGGAATACTATTCAGCCTTAATAAGTAAGGAACAAAATAATTCTAAACTTAGAGGACATCATGCTAAGTGAGATAAGCCAGTCACAAAAGGACAAATACTGTATGGTTTCCCCTATATGAGATATTCAGAGTTGTGAAATTCAGAGAGAGAAAGCAGAATGGTGGCTGCCAGGAGCTGCCAGAGGGGGACTGAGGAACTGGTGTTTAATGGGTGCAGAGTATCAGTTTCACGAGATGAAAAAGTTCTGTGGATGGGTGGTAGTGATGGCGCACAACGGTGAGAATGTTCTGAATGCCACTGACTGCACCTACAATGGTCAAGATAGTATATGTTGTGTTATGTGTATTTTACAATTAGAATTGGGAAAAAAAGTAAGCCTCAAAGAAGGGGTCATGGAGCCCTCGGTGTCATGCACTCGTTCCCCCCAAGACCCCACCCCCACAGCTTAGGCAGCCCCTGCCAAGCCCCGTCCTGTGTCCAGGTGACTTGCACAGAAGAGGTGGCAGGAGCACCAGGAGATGCCTGCTCTCAGCATCTCTGTCTAGTCTCAGGATGCAAGGTGCAGGTTCTCCTGCTTCCAACTTTTCTGGAAGCGAATGTTCTTGCTGCTCAGATGAGGAAATGGGGCCCAGACAAGGGAGGCCCCCGCTCCTGCTGCCCTAGGCCCTCATCTCCAACCTTTTCACCACACCCACTGCACAGCAGCCAGTTCCCAGGGGACCCTGTCAGGTAGGACACTTCCCCTGTGGTTTGGCCTCTCTCTGTAGTGAGGAGAAAGAGCTCCGTTAATGCAGTCCTCCCGGATTCTTTATAAATAAAGCCATGTTCTGCTGGCAGGGAGACAGGATAAGCTCTGTACAAGACATAGTGATAATAAAGACAGCATCAAGGCAGGAAATTGAATTAAGTTTCATTTATTCTAAGGCAAACTCAAAATGGGTTTTTTCATTGTTTTCTTTTTTAGCAAATCCTAGCACATTATTAACAAAAAAAATCTGTACATTTGCCATGATACACTTGAGAGTGAAACAAATAAGATATAAATACAGATATGGATGTAACATGAAAAAGCCCCAAAAAACCCAAAAAACAAAAAACCCCACCCAAGGGGGAGGTGTGGGGACCATGCGTGTGAACACAGTGCCAACAAAACTATTTTGGTGGCTGATATTTTTCAGAGCATTTTTCATTTCCAAACATTATCATTAGCAAAGTCCTGGTGGGATTCTACGAAGTTCTTATTTGCTGTCCTTTAACGTATAATATTATGCTTGATAAATAAAGGGCGGCAGGGAAAGAAAAAGAAGATCTGAGAGACAGACCAGGGCACGCACTACCTGCGCAGGTAAGCTAGTGACGGCGTGGACCAGGCGGCCTGCTGTGCGCTCGGGCCCGGAGGCGGCGGCGCCTCGGCCAGAAGAGGGCGGCAGGAGCTTGGAGGGAGCGTGACTCAGACGACCGGCCCCTCGCCGTGGGCTGTGGCCGGGGCCGGCCAGGTAGACAGGGAGGCAGAGTTCTGGGGCTCTGCTGTCCCACGTGGCGGGGCCAACAGGGAGGCGGCGGCGCGGCAAGGCAGCGGCAGCTGTCAGGGCTCGGAGGGGCGGCGGGGGCGCGGCCGCCCTCCCGGTGAGGTGGCGGTGGCATGCGAGTCTCCTCGGCGCGGTGGGCAGCAGTTTCCGAATTGAGGTCAAGAGATCTGCGGAGTGATTGTACCTCTCTCTAAGTCAGGAGATTGAAGACTGAGCAAGTGACATTCGAGGCTAGCCCTTTGTGAGTACTATGAGGCCATGAAGCAATGGTCGAGATCCTTCCCAACTACACGGGGGCTGTGGTGAGCTTCCTGCACTCAGAGCTCAAGGAGAAAAGTCTAACTGCACGGCATAAAATAACTCATAAATAACCTGGCCAGAACACACATTTCCACAACAGAGGAGTAACCAAAAGACTCCCTGACTCACTTGTAAAATGTAAAAAGAAATCCCATTAATGAAATATGAACAAAACAGTATTTATCAATGAAAGTAAGGCCTGGTCCTGCTATATTCTGAGCCAAAGTCAGCCAGTTACATTCAACCACTTAAAACACACCCCTGAAGTTCCCTAAACAGCAGCAGTGGGTACTCTACATGTGTGAGATGCCCCCTCCACACACATAACACACACAGATGGCATCCCGGGGCTTCACTGTTCTGGACATTAGGAGGCCTTTATTTTAAGTGTGTATTTCCAAATAAGGTATCTGACTTGTACAACTTCGCACATTAAATCTGGATGGTCAGAGAAGAAGGGGGGTCTGTGGAAATTAGTGGTGAGAACCACACACTTGGTTGGGCACCCCGGCCTCTGCTTTCAGTTCCAGCAGCTGCAGCAGACTCTGCATTGGAATAGCAAATACCTCATTCAAATTAATATCAAAGGAAGCATTTTCCTTATGGAAAATCAGTCCAATTTAGAAAATCTAAAATAGAGGAGACAGTTGAAGTCCCCATGATTGCATTAAGAATTACCATTTGGTTTAAGAATTTACTCAAAACTTATTTAACCAGACTCCAAATCTACAGTTACTTTTATTGGAGCAATTAGACCCTCAAGAGGTTAAAAAAGGGGAGCCTGGTGGTTTCTCATGGAAGGAAAAGAAACAGATTCTAAAAGTGTATTTCAAATCCTGCTTTTCTGCAATCTGCCACTTATCATAATTACTTTTTCCTTAAACGATGACTATTTCAATAGACGATCAAGGAAGTACTTTGGTTTATACATAAAAAAATTCTGATACCCAGTCTCTCTAGACTTCTTTTTGCTCTTAATCCCAAATTAAACAGAGAAGTCAAAACTAAGATGGTAAAGTTGCCACTTATCAGATCAACAGAACATTTTAGATCTGAACAGCTTAGGCAAAGCTGAGGAAGAGAGGAAAGAACACGGAGCTAAATCTGAATCAGCAACTGCCCTCAAATACAAGGATCCTGGGAGAATGCCTGTAACCATAGTGTTTCCCCCAGGTCTTAGTTGTAAGACAGACCACTTCAGTTTTATCTTCTGGGCTTCATGAAATGCCATTTCAGGCATCCCTAAGTGATGCTTTAAATTTACCTTATTTTTTTTGTTTGCACTTTAAGAATTCTTTCGAATGGAAGCTCTGGAATAGGAACGCATCTGTGGAGTTGTTCAGAGGGTGCTAGAAGGACACTGGGGGTAAATCCCTTCAGATTCTGTGCCAAAAGCCAGGCAGTTGGCCACCAGTCTGGATATAAGTGGAATTCCAGGTGCTTATTAAAGACCATCTTCAGGCTTTTCTTCTTTTCTTGCCAAGACTTGATTCCGTTTTTAGTAGGTCTCAAAACAAGTCTTTAAAGACTTGTTTTGAAGACATACAACCTTTCATGATGATGGCTGTGAAGGGGGCGAGCTTTGCCCCACACAGACTGTCTTCATAAGAAAATAAGCTAAGAACGAGGAACACAAAGTAATACCCACCCCACCCCCAAATCTGTTATTAACGGGACAAAAAAAAAAAAAAAAAACTACTTTCTACCAAGCATTGGCTAGAGAGCTCTGACTTTTAACAAGGGCACCACACACAGGGTTTGCAGTCTCAGCAGGCTGAACGAGGCACGTGATGTGTGGCTCTTCTCTTTTCTCACTCCTGCTTTTGACGAGGACTGCAGTGCAGGCCTTGCTTCCTTTACATTCAATTCCAGTAAGATTCTACACAAAAGCTGGAAGGGACCAAAATACTGATTGTAATAAATATTTGCAGGCCTTCCTGTACTGACGGGGCAGCCGATGAAGGGGTGGGGAAAGGTCTCTGAGAGGCACCACCCATCACTTCTGGGTCTACGCAGAGAGACTGGTGCTGCCATTAGCTGTGTGTGGAAACGTCAGAGGAGGAGCTGCTGTTGCTATTCGTGGTCTGTGCCCTCTTTATATATAAGTTTAGAAGCTTCATCTGAAAAGAGAAGACAACAACGAATTAGCAGGAGGAAGAGCAATCAGAAAGTAGAAAACAGGAAAAAACAACCCAGGAGACAATAAGAAAACAGCATGTCCCTTAGTTCCCTTTGTTGGGGAATTCATTCCACAAACATTTCCCAAGTGACTATTACTCATCAAATGCATCTGCCAGGTGCTAGGGCCACAGAGAGGAAGGAGGTCAGAGTCTGGAGGGGAGAGAGAAAAGCAGTGGGCTGTTACAGAAAGAACACAAAGTGTCACAACTAGGCAGGCCGCAGGGCCTCCAGGAGAAAACGATCTGAGGGGCACAGCCACACATCTCAAGGGCTGCTACAGCCCACGGGCTCCATCAGAGCCAGGGGGACAAGCAGGGTGAGAACCTGCTGCATAGGGATAAAGCAACCAGGCCAAGGTCAGGGTCATGTTCTCAAATCTTCGCACCTTTGCTGAAGTGGTTGCTTCCACCACACACTCACATTCCTGCTTACTGAAGCCTACTGACCACTGCAGCCTCTGAGACCTATCCTACAGGCCACCCCGAGAAAGCCTCCCCTGATGCGCGCATCTGGATTCAACCACTCCTTCCTTCCTATGCCTATGGCTCTGGCCCCTCATTTAGACTCAGCACGTGCTGCCTTATGCTACAGTCAGCAGCAGTTTGCCTGTTCCTTCTGAGAAGATTAGACCTCCCTGAGGCCAGTGTATTAGTCCATTTTTGTTGCTTGTAACAAAATAACTGAAACTGGGTAACTTACAAAGAAAACGAAATTATTATTATTATTTTTTCCTTTTTTTTTTTGTCTTTTCTCGTGACCGGTAACAGGATCGCAACCCTTGGTGTCGTGCCCGCACCGCGCTCAGCCAGTGAGCGGACTGGTCTGTATATGGGATCCGAACCCTCGGCGGGAGCACCGCCGCGCTCCCAGACGCCGCACTCTACCGAGTGTGCCACCGGGCTGGCCCAAGAAAACGAAATTATTGCTTACAGCTTCTGAGGCTGGGAAGTCCAAAGTGCATCTGGTGGTGGCAACAGTGACCCAGGGATCTCACAATGCAAGATGGTGTAAGCAGAGAGAGAGAGAGAGAGAGAGAGTCCTCTCCCTTCTGGTGTGGCCCTCAGAACCACACCCTGACCACCATTTTTAATCCATCCACTGTTGCAGGGTCCTTCAATCCAATCACCTCTTCAAGGCTCCACCTTTCAATTACCATAGTAGGATTTCCCACTCTCTTAACAGTCATAGTGGGGGCTAAGTTTCTAATACATAAAACTTGGGGGATACAACCCAAACTTCAGTGAGTTTTGGGGGACATAATTCAATCTGCTACAGGCAGATACTGTGTCACAAAATAACATTAACTTGGATTGATATAATGCTTTATGATGAAAGGGCTTTCATATCTGTGACCACATTTGCTTTTAACTGAAGCCCCTTTGGACCCTCAAAATACATAAAACAGCAGGTAACACAGTAGGCACTTAATAAATATTTGTTGAATGCCACTAAATTAATGAATTATGTTGATAATTTGCTTGATCATATTAACAATGAAAAGAGGGGGCTAACTGGTTGCTCAATTGGTTAGAATAAAAAGAAACTGACATTTGCAGAAGCAGAATGCCCATTAAAAAATCTATGTAACCTACAACTTGTAAGATCAAGGGAATTATAAAAAATTTACTATCTCAGTCCTTATCTGTCTTGCCCCAAGCAGGCTATGGGACTCAGACAATTATAAGCCAGCCCAGGAAGGAGGGGCTGATCTCCAGGGGGACCCTTTAAGACATGCTCATGCTAATATGTGTGGTCCACTAGAACACAGGGCCCTCTAATGGTCAGTGGGAATTGGAAGAGCAACCCTACAGAGCTCCTAACAAAGGTAAAGCTCCCCTGACATCCCTACTCACACCCCCAAAGTATTGGCTAGAAGTTAGACCCTCCTTATCAGTAATTACTTTAAATATAAATAAATTAAACTCTCCAATCAAAAGACAAGAGATTGGCAGAATAGACAAAAAAAAAAAAAAAAAAAAAAGATCCAACTGTATGCCATCTCCAAGAGACTCACTTTAGATCCAAAGAACCATAGATTGAAAATAAAAGGATGGAAAGATTCCATGCGAATAGTAACCAAAGAGAGCAAGTGTGGCTATACCAACAGCAGAGAAAATAGACTTTAAATTTTAAGAAGTTATAAGAGACGAAGACATTATATATTAATAAAAGGCTCAATACAGCAAGAAGATGTAACAATTATAAACATTTACATACCTAAAAACAGATCCTCAAAATATATGACGCAAAAATTGACAGAACTGAAGGGAGGAACACAGTTCTACAATAATAGTTATAGACATCAATACTCCACTCTCAGTAATGGATAGAATGAGACAGAAGTAAGAAAAGAGAGGACATGAACAAACACCACGATAAACCAATTAGATCTAACAGCCATATACAGAACACACTACCCAATAACAACAGCATGCACATTCTTCTCAAATGCACATGGGATATTTCCCAGGATAGACCATATGTGAGGCCACAGATTAAGTCTTCACAGATTTAAAAAGACAGATATCACACAGAGTATTGTCTCTGACCACAGCAGGATGAAGTTAGAGATCAATAACAGAAAGAAAACTGAAGAATTCACAAATCTGTGGAAATTAAACAATACACTCTTAAGCAATGGGTCAAAGAAGAAATCACAAGGTAAATGAGAAAATATTTTGAGACAAATGAAAATAAAAACATAATATTCTAAAACTTTTTTGATGCAGCAAAAACACTGAGAGCGAAATTTATAGCTGTAAATGCTTACATGAAAAAGAAGACAGATCTCAAATCAACAACTTAAATTTACATCTTAAGAACCTAGAGGGCTGGCCCGGTGGCGCACTGGAGAGTGCGCCGCTTGGGAGTGTGGCGGCGCTCCCGCCGAGGGTTCGGATCCCATGTGGAGACCGGTTCCCGCTCACTGGTTGAGCGCAGTGCAGGTGCAACACCGAGGGTTGTGATCCTGTTGCCGGTCAGTAAAAAAGACAAAAAAGAAAAAAAAAAAAGAACCTAGAAAAAAAAGAATGAACTAAACCCAAAGCTAGCAGAAGAAAATAATAAAGATTAGAACAGAGGTAAATGAAATAATAGAAAATAGAAAAAAAGCAATTAAAAAAATAAATGAAACCAAAAGCTGGTTCTTTGAAAAGATCAACAAAATTGATAAACCTTTAGCTAGATGGACTAAGAAAAAGAAAACACTTTGGATGGATCCCCATACTGGCCAGTCACCCAAACACACAGACACACAGACACACACACACACACACACCCCTAAAATCAGAAATAAGTGTGGAAACATTATTACTGATTCTATAGAAATAAAAAGGATTATAAGGGAGTACTATGAACAATCATATTTCAAAAAACTGGATAACCTAGATGAAATGGACAAATTCCCCAGAAACACAAAACCTATCAAGACTGAATCATAAAGAAAGATAAAATGTCAATAGACCTGTAACTAGTAAGGAGGTTGAATCAGTAATCAAAAATTTCCTGACAAAGAAAAGCCTGGACCAGAAGATTTCACTGGTGAATTCTACCAAACATTTAGAGAAGAACTAATACCAATCCTTCTCAAACTTTTCCAAAAAACTGAAAAGGGAACACTTCCAAACATTTTTTAAGAATAGCATTGCCCTGATACCAAAACCAGACAGACACCACAGGAAAATTACAGACCAATATCCCTTACTGATGCAAAAATTCTCAACAAAAGGCTAGCAAACCAAATTCAGTGGCAAATGAAAAGGATTAGGTACCACGATATGGGATTTATTCCTGGAATGCAAAGATGGTTCAACATATGAAAATAGATCAATGCAATACACACCATGTTAACAGAATGAAGGAGAAAAAACACATTCAACTGATGCAGAAAAGAATTTGACAAAATTCAATATACTTTCATCATAAAAACACTCAACAAACTAGAAATTGAAGGATAGTACCTTAACATATTAAAAGCCATATATGAAAACCAACTGCAAACATCATACTCAGTGGTGAAAGACTCTGGAAACTTTTCTAAGATCAGAGGATTGCTTTCACCACTTCAATATAGTACTGAATGTTTCAGCCAGAACAATTAGGCATGAAAAAGTAGTAAAAGTAATGAAGAAGAAAGGAAAAAGTAAATTGGAAAGGAAGAAATTATCTTTGTTTGTAGATATTACACATAGAAAACTATGAAGGTTTCAGAAAAAAAAAAACTATTATAACTAATAAATGAGTTCAGCAAAGAAGCGGGATATAAAAATCAACAAGCAAAAATAAACTGCATTCCTGTGCACTAACAATGAACAATCCAAAAAGAAAATTAAGAAAATTCCATTTACAATACCATCAAAAAGAATAAAATTCTTCAGAATTAACTAAGGAGGTAAACGACTCACACAATGAAAACAACAAAATGTTGCTGAAAGAAATTAAAGATAATATAAATAAATGGAAAAACATCCCATGTTCATAGATCGGAAGACTTAATATTGTTGTCAATACCGCCCAAAGAGATCTACAGATTCAATACAATCCACATCAAAATCCAAATGAGGTTTTTTGCAAATAGAAAAACCAATTCTAAAACTCATAAGGATCTCAAGAGATCCTGAACAGCCATAATATCTTAAAAAGAAGAAAGTTGGAGGACTAACACTTCTGATTTCAAACCTTACTACAAAGCTATAGTAATCAAACACTGAGGTACTGGCATAAAGACATACAGTCATGTAATGTGTTGCTTAATGACAAGAATGCATTCGGAGAAATGCATTGTTAGGTGATTTTTTCATTGTGCAAACCACTGCAGCGTATACTTAACAAACCTGGACAGTTTAGCCTATTACACTCCTCCAGCTCCATTATAATCTTATGGGACCACTGTTGTATATACGGCCCATTGTTATGAGGGCACAACTATACATATACCAACGGGACAGAACAGACAGCCAAGAAATAAACCTTCACATAGATGGTGAAATGATTTTCAACAGGGGTGCCAACACCATTCAATAAGGAGAGGATAATCTTTTCAGCAAATGGTGCTGGGAAAACTGGATATCCACATGCAAAATAATAAAGTTCAATCCTTATCTAACACCATACACAAAAATTAACTCACAAAGTGGATCAGAGGCTGGAAAGTAAGAGCTAAAAGTATAAAACTCTTAGAAGAAAACACAGGTAAAAGCTTCATGACATTGAATCTGGCAATAATTTCTTGAATATGACACAAAAGGTGTGGGCAACAAAAGAAAAAATAGACAATTTGGACTTCATGTAAATGAAAAATTTTGTGCATCAAAGGACAGAGAGTAAAAAGGCAACCCACAGAATGGGAGAAAATACATGCAAATCATATATCTGATAAAGGCCTGACTAATATTTTTGGATGGATTCTCCATTTTATAAATCTAATTCCCTTTGTGAATAGTGTCTCTGAGGTCCTCACTGTTGCCAGGAACCACCTAGGTGATGGCGGCAGGGGGAGAGAGGAGGGTTCCCGACCCTGCACACAGCTGAGTGACACTCATTATTTTTCAGATGGTGGTTAGGGAAGGGATCTGATGAGGAGCCTTTGCAGGAGCAGGAGAGGAGAAACTAGAAAATGGAATCAGGTAAGGAAGCCCCCAAATCATTGACCCATACTTGCCTCATTCACCTCTACCAATCTAACTAACTGCTTATTCCTGTCTGCAAGGGGAGGAAAGTATCTCCTCTGGAGCAGTGGTTTGATTTTGCCCTACAGAGGACATCTGGCCACGTATGGAGACATTAGTAATTGTCACAACTGGGGGGGGGTGCTATTGGCATCTAGATGGTGGCAGTTAGGGATGCCACCGAACCGTCTACAATGCACAGGGTGGCCCAAGATGTCAACAGTGCTAAGGTTGAGAAACGCTGCTCTAGACAAACGGGGAGAGCTGTCTTTGCCCAGAACTCTGTGTCACGTGTGATGCTCACCAGCTGTGTCAAAGCGGCAGTTTGATTTGAAAAGAAATGAGCCTCACTCATCGATTCCACTTCTCATAAGGAGCAGGGTCAGGTGCTTCTGGCTTTGTGCTATCCACTGCTTAGTTTCACAGAGTGGACTGTATTCACATTCACGTCTCTGCCAGGGGATTATTAAACTCCACATAGACATGCTTCTCCACAGGCAGCCCCTGGAGTGGGCTCCTCGTGGCACAGCCTGAGGTCGCCCAGGCCCACCAGCCCCCTCTCAGGAGCCATGAATCCGTTTCTCAACGTGCTCCTCCTACCACGGCATGGAGGTTTCGACCTGCTCTCACCTGGCCTGGCATGTCAGATTTGAGTTTTTTTTTTTAAAAAACATAAACCGATAAGCACTGTAGCCAACAGTCCCTCTGGTCCATTTTTTCCCCCTGATTCTAGAACACTCTTAAAGGAACATAAGCGGCAGCAGAGTGAGAAAGAAGCTTGGCTTCTGGAGTCAGATCTCTGTGTGCCCTTACACAGGTTAAAGGGGTGACCATCCCTACCCCATAGGGATGGTGTCATGAACTGAGTCCACACAGCACAGTGCGCAGAACAGTGCCTGGGACATGGCGGGCATGAGGCGAGAGCCAGCTGCTGTTACTGTTTTTTTTTTTTTTAAAAGTTGCTGTTGATGCTCACAAGGGTCTTAGCTCCAACTCAGCTATTTGTTAAGTGTAAATTTCTGTAGTGTTTCCATGAGAAAACAAGTTGGTTCCTAAAACAAAGCTGTTTTTCTTTTGTGAATAAATGAGCTCAAAGTTATCATTTCAAAACCAGGAGTTAGAATAGACTACATTGTATCACCTTAATGTCACCTTAAAATGACTTCACTATATAGCTGATCATTTTCATCTTCAGAAAAATGCTTTTGGAGAAATAAGGCCCAACTAAAACATACACAATGAGAAAAACCTGTCTGAGGTCCAGAGCTGCTGCCAAGCAGATTTATGACAAGCTGGCAAAGCCCAGGTGTGCATATGAGCCCAGGTAACACTATACATACCTTGCTCCCTGTGAGCTGTGCGAGGTGAGGTTTCAGATCTTCTCCAATTACGGAATAAATTGCCACTAAGCAAAACACGCTGGCCTTACGTACACTACTTTCAGTGTTGTCATAACCCTAGAGAGACAGAAGGGGACACAAAGAGGAAGTCAGATCAAAGATTTGCTTCACAGTTAATATCTCATCAACATTTCCACAAACACCCTCATAATTCAACCTTGGATTTGTCAATAACAACCAAGATATATTCGGCCCTGCAACTGACCCCAAAAGAGGTCAAAACTCATAAGGGTCAAGAGTGACCTGGTTGCTGGAGTGCAGAAGTAGAGGCTGGCAAGTCCCAGACCAGTGTGCCTCCACAGGGCGCTGTTTTATAAGGAATTTATTATTATTATTTTTTGGTGGCTGGCTAGTACAGGGATCTAAACCCTTGACATCTTAGTGTTATCAGCATCATATTCTAACCAAGTATTCTCACCGGCCTGCCCCAGAAAAGGAAATTAAGGGAGAAAAATAACTAGATTCTTTTACATTTCTCCTAATGGTAAAGCAAACTGCAATGTATGAAAATGCCTTTAAAGGAATGAGAACTTCACTCACTCTCATGGGCAAAACATCTTTACCCTCCAGTGACGGCTAGGAACATCCAGTCCCACAGCCTGACGTTTGTGACCCTGTGCAACGCGACCTCAATCTACCTGTGAGCCTCATGCTCTGCCCAACACTAAATGGGACTACCTGCTGTTCTCCAAACAGCCCTTGGGACTTTTCAGCCTTTGTGCCTTTCCCTCTGTCTGGAATAATCCAGTCTTCAACAGTGAGTGTTTAACTTCCAAGCCAAGTGCTCAGCAAACAGCAGCATTTATTAAGTGGGAAACCGATTCCTCTAAACCATTCCCCACTAAAACCCCCTCTCTTCAGGGCCTGACTCTGAACCACCTCTGCCATGAACTCTCTCCCCCCACCCCAGCCAGCATCCACCTCTCTACTCTAACATGGCACATGGTGCTGTCATCGGTCTGCATGCTGCACTGTGTCCTGCAGTAGGTAGAAAACCCCTGAGGGTGCCATGCAGGGGAACACAGCTTTTCTCTGCCAGAGTCTAACTCAATGCCTTGGGCTCAGAAGAGTCCCCATAAGATCTGCTGGGTACACAAGACACACACACACACGCGCAGACAATGGCAAGGGCCATTCTTTCATCCATACTCCATTGCCCATCCTGCCAGGAGGTGTGCAAGAAATAAAGAATAAGTCTTTGTTGAAGAAATAAACCAAAAAAAAAAAAATCTAAATATGTTTATAGTCAACAGAAAGTTTGCTCTGTGAGCCACAGTTCTAGCTGCCAGGAAAGTCTTCCTGTTGCATTCAGAAGAGAGTAGACCAGAAGACAGCAGAGAAGGCTGGGACATGTCCCTGCCACAGAGCTTCACACGTCCCAACACGTGGGTCATCATCTCATCTTTTCTATCTGCCCCTGTCAGTGCAAGAGGTGTGCAAAACCGCCACATTACTTTAGGTTAAGCAGCCACCATTGCCAGCCTCAGCCCCACGAAGACCAGCAGCTGCTCTGCTACCATGAGGGGCCTACCTGCAGCAAGCCTGGGATGATGTCAGCAAGGAGCTGCAGCAAGGACTCCTTGGCGATCCTCTCAACGACTTTGGTCTGCATCTTGATGGCAGCGAGGTTGATGGGGTAGTCGGCCGTCTGGATGATGGGGCAGAGCACTTTGATGCACTGCTCCGGGTGGATGGAACTGGCCAGTGTGGACGCGGCCTCCTCGGCAGCTCTCACCACCTGAAATGGCCGGTTCCCCCAAAGAATGAGCTCTACGTGCCACACAAGGAGAAAGACCAAACACCACTTCTGCCTCATTTCAGGGGCCAAATGACAATGACCTCACTTAATGTCAGACGGCAGCCATCACTTCTTCTGGCTAACACCATTAAGAAAGTAAAAGCAAAGGGCTTTGGAGGCTGATTTTAAAGGGAAGTGGGGGATGTGGAATGGCAGGTATGGAGGATTCTGGGCAAAACTTCAGAAGAGTGGTTTCCCAAGCATGGTCCCCCTGGCAGCGACAGATCCCTGGAAACTTGTTGGAAACTCAACTTCTCAGGCCTGCCCCCAGGCCTGCTGCCTACAGCTGGACCGTGACTGAAGGTGGTGCCCAGCAAGCTGTGCTGATAAGCACTTGGGCAACTCTCATGTGCTCTAAATTTTGAGAATCTCTGTCCTGGAAGATTAGGACCTGAAAATATAAATGCTTTCCAATGGCTCATGGGACATCCACAGGTGGAATAACTGGAGAGAAGCCTGAAAGGAAATCAGAGTGACTGCAATACTGAGGTTTCCTGGGAAGGGCCTGGTTGCAAAGCAGTCAGGAATGCTCAGGGAGAAGCCTCTGAAAGTGTTTTCCTGAGAAGTCTCCTGTGCAGAGTTGCTTTTCTAGGATTCTGTGCTCATGATACCCCCTCACCTTGCACTTTTAAGGAAGTACGTGAAACGACTGGCTCATGGCCAAAGGAGCAGCCTGTGACCTCTGGAGGGCAACAGAAGACCCTGCTGTAATAAAGACAGAAGCTAAATGAAAAAGCCAGCGAAGAAGAAAGGGCACAGCAGAAGGTGTGGTAGAAAGAGCCTGGGCCTCAGGCTGAGAGTGCTGGAAGCAAGTCCCAGCCACACCACTGCCAAGAGCTAAAGCCCCACCTCTTCACCTGTAAAATGGGGACATCTCACAAAGTCAAGATACAGAAGACACTCAGTAGATGATACTACAGTTAACGGCACATATGTTATATAAATGATATATAAACAAAGATACCAGGCTATAAACGAGTATGTACTTACAAAGCACAATGAAAATCTAATCCTTTTCTTCCGCCAGCCCCGGACAAGTCACTCCACCCAGACTCCTCTCTGCGTTGTGTTCTGCTACTCAAAATAACTCAGTTCTATCTTTGCTCAACAAGACAAAGGCTACCAGCCCAAGGCTTCATCACCATGGCCCTTGTGATTTAGGTGAAGACTGACCAATGAAAACAGCACATGGAACATCTGGAAAGCTACTTCCAGTCGTGGGCATGGAGAAGGGGTGGAGTAGTCAGTCCACATGAGCCAGAGAACATGGGAGGGGCCCACAGAGAGGCCATCAGAGCCCTATGGTGGACAGGCACAGACATAGGCTTGGAGTCCACATGTGCTGCTTTGGGTCATTTTGTGGACCTGACTGAGGCACTGACCCCCAGCCCCCCAGGCGGGGCAGACCTCAGGGATCCCCAGCATGGCTCCAGACCAGACGCAGCCTTACCTTCTGCCTGGGGCTACAGTGCCTTGTGAATAGGGCTCATGTGGGGAGTGTAACTCCCATCCCTGCATCGGCTCTGCTCTGGCGAAGGGCAAAGGGAACCAATGATACACCGAGGGCTGGCCCCGCTGCTAATGGTGGTTTTTTTACTGTGAAGCTCTATACAGGCTGTGGCTACTCATGCCCAACATCTGGCACTTATCACTATAAAAAACTTGGAAGAACGTATAAAAGGTTAACAGTCCTCATATCAGGGTAGTGAGATTATGGGTAACTCTATTTTCCTCTTTATTCTTTTTAGAATGAAAAATTATATTAACCATCCTAGCAATGAAACTGCCTTCATAAAGATCTACTTGAACCATCTTTTTGAGGCCAGGGAGTCAGCAGTCCAGGCCTGGTTCCAGGTGAGAGGTGACAGGTGCTGCACTTGAGAAGCCGGCAGCCTCTCGCACACCTTCCTGAACTGGATCCACCGCCTGCAGAGAGTGGGTGCTCCGTGGTGTTAGCTAATGTTACTACAGTCATTATAACAATCATTATTGTTCCTGCTTATCTCCCACTGTTTTCATAAACTCCCCTCTGCTGAACTAGAAAACTCATTGTCCCTCAAATCTGGCTGACACATGTGCCACTGCCCCTCCCTGACCATCAGACTGATGATGCTTTCCTCTCAACTCCGGTTTCTTGTGCTGTGACACTAACATGGCACTACATGTAGACTGCTTTGTATTCTTGGTGACATTTTCATATGTTTCTTCTTACCGAACAGGTGGGAACTAGAACATTTGTTTACTACCCAGCAAGGATGGGCATTCACGAGGGGTGTAGTACTTACTGATGAACTGAACTTCATCCTCCTGTCTGCCTGAGATGTCTCTGTTCAAAGAAGCCCTACCTCCCTGAATTCTGAAAATCACCTTTCTTTCTTGCTGGAGGCCTTCTGAACTTTCCCTGGGAGGGCCGGCTATCTCCCTGTGGTACTGACCAAAGGCTAGAAGTTTCATGAAATAAGATCACTGCTCCCGGCACCACCTGGCCCACACTCTAGTGGACACGACACACACACCTGTGGGGCCTATTCTGTATTAATCCCTTCGAGAGCCAAAATGGAGACCTGGAACAGCAAAGTTCGAGAGTAAATACTGTGTACATGTCAGAAGACAGGTGTCGAGAACACCTAAGATTTGTCTGGCTTACTATGTACGTGAAAGGTCAGGCTAGAGCACAGAGCACTATAGAGAGGTAATCTTGTTTTAGAAGTCATGTCCTATTCTCAAGCAGCTTGGAAGATTTTTAAAAACCTAGAAGCCTTGGTTGTTATTTCCTCACATCTCTCGTCATGATTTCTGTTTGTGCTGTGTGTGTGTGTGCGTGCATGTGTGTGCGCGTGCATGTGTGTGTTCACCCAGCACCAACCAAGCTCAAGCCACAGAGGTGAGAAGGAGCGGGCTGTACTCTTGAGGTATGGGGCAGGGTGAGGGTGCAGAGGCCCAGGAAGGGACTACCACCTGATGGGCTTCCTGCAGTCTGCCAGGATGAGACAAGAGAAGGCTGGTGAGGGATGGGAAGTAGAACCGATGTCTGAAGGAGGCTTCTCTGGTGTTCTGCGGAGCTTCTTCCAACTCAAGGGCCCTCAGCTGTGCACAGCCAGCCCACCCCTGCCTCTGCCAGGCAGCAGGCGCGGCCTTCCCCGGCACCTGGAGATAGGTGAGCGGGCCTTCCCTCATCAGAAAGTATTAACTTAGTTGCAACACTGATGGCCTCTCATTCCACCTTACAAATGTATGGGAATGAAACTATTTAAAGGAACCCCACTGTGATTTTTTTCTTCTCTGCCAACTCAACATCCTGCAAAGTGCAGCTTTTTCCACAAAGGTCTCCTGAAAGCAGAGTGCTATTTGGCCTTGGTATGTGTTCGTGACCTTTAACCTTTCACCCCAAGAAAGGCAGCTGCTAGAGTTGGATGAGCACATTCTCAGCCTCTGAAAGCACTGCAGCAGCTAAACCTCAGTTCAATCCATTGGCAAGGAAGTTACTTGTTCTGAGCCTCAATTTTCTTAAACTCTAAATCGGGGGTTTAAAACGAACTACTTTCACAGTTATCTGGATTGAGAGAGACAACATACAAAGTAGCCTGGCACATTCTAGCTACAATACACATGAGGGCTATAAGCTAGGTCTTGGTGGAGGAATGGCAGCAGAAGAGGAGCCTGGCTGCAGAAGTGTGACAAGAGGCAAGGCAGCTAAGCTGGGAGCTCCTGGGCTCTGCCCCATGAGTCTCCATAGAGGACCATCCACCATACCAAATGTTCTGAGAGCAGGAAACACGGGTAAGCCAGCTCCTTCCCTGGGGATGAGTGCCAACATCAAGACGGGCGTGTCCTCTCCAATCATCTCTAAGATGCTAATCTGATGACTGCCCAAGTTCTTCAGAGAGGCCCGGCTCCTGCTTGCCTGTCTGGTGCACTTCCTTGCCCTGCCCTCACCTAGCCCACACCCTGCCCAGCCACCTCTGTGCCCTGTCCAGTCCCTTTACTCACCCGTGTTCTTCCCCTGGCTGGGCCGAGTCACCCTTCAGGACTCACTCACTTCAACAGAACCCCTAGGAAGGCTCATGCGCATACTGTATCACACTGCATGTAAACATTGTGGTGATACCCTCTCTCTCACTAAACTAAAAGTTCCCTGAAGGCAAGATCCCATCTCGGCCATCTTTCTATCCCCTGTGCCCGGCACAATGTCCCATATACACTAGGCACTCAATAAATACCTGTCAAACTAATGCCACATACTGTGTATTTTAAAAAATGCCCATGACAAGCCACCCCTGGGCCATGCCACACTGACTTGCAGTTACATTTTCTAAATAAGGAGTGAGCACAGAAAACAAGAAGGCAAGATACCTACAAATGACCAACTTGGGCTTTGGGGAAATCAACCGTACAAGGCCCAGAGAGTCCTATTCTAGGTGACATCCTGGAAAAGCAACAGACTAGTTCTTTGAAAAAGTGACTTTAGGTTAATTTTTTTCCCAGTAATCAGTTGTTTGAAGAGGGGTGGCACGTTTCTTAGAAGAGCTCCATCAGGCAAGGAATTACCTAAGATGTTTTCCTTCCTCCTCAGTTCACACAGGTCCCTAAGACTACTCTATGTCCACGGTGTACTTGGGACAGCCAAGTGTGTGGCTGTACATGAATGGGGTTGAGTTACACACAGCTAAGCAGATGATGAGAATGCAAGAGGGGACAGTCCCTCTCTTTTCTAAGCTGGGCCAGCAATGAGACCACCACGCTCTGAAACCACTGGCTTTCTACTACAGGAAATTACTGCACACAAATATTGTAACATACTGGTCAGAAAGCTGAGGGACTTATGGACCTTAGTCTTTAAACTTGGGGAAAAAAAAATGAAATGATCAAAAAACACTGGATGATTTCATTAGGTATATCTAAGCTAGAAAACACTGATGTACAGAAATCTATGTTTAAGA